TCTCCTAGTGCAATCGTCAAATCGTAAAGTCGGTAGAAACTAGGAACTATTGAAGCAGACGGAGACAAATTTCGAATAAAGTGTGTGTTGAGATTAAGACGCAAATCGGCCGTATAAAGGAAAACGAGTGCAAAAATATTAGGCAAGCTGGTCTTCACAGATAAATACGTACAACGTTCAATATATGTCTAACCCTAGTCTAAGGAGTTTTTTGTACTACGCGCTTTTTCTTTAGTATTCAAGTTAGCGTGTAGATTCTGTCTTGGGTTTTTAGGAGCAGATAGAAAACAGGATCAAGTAATCAATCGATGGAGTTATACATATTTATATTCATGTATATATATTTGAAAGTCTGAACTGTTTGATTTTCAAAACCACACCTAATTGAGATTGCCTAAATATACGTCAAAATCACTGGAGGTAATGCTGAATTGACAGATAGAAGCCATATTAACGTTTATACCCAGGAGTAAACTGTACTTGTCCAGACTATGAGCAATGTAGTATGAGTCTATCGAGAAAGAATTTATGGCAGCATATTATGGTTGTAAACTATTGTCCATCATCATTTTTATCTCAGAAGCTTAACTCTATGATAATAGCATAATAAAAATCAAACCAGCTGAAGATACATTGTCATTGCGATACCTCACCATATTAGATAATTCTTCACCCTTCCAAAAAGTTAACCTGGACATCTTATGTTCATCTATTTATAACTTTGTTCTGACGAAATTTACGGTTATCATCGTTTTTCCCCTTATTCGCTTCATGTCTACATAAATGATTGATCCTGATACCAACACTGCATTATTTTGTCGTACCAAAGATAACATCGCTAAACTTTTGGTTGAACAATACTCTCGTACATTTCAAACGACCCGCATAAACTATAGTGATGGAAGCTTCATCTGCAACTGTACAGGATTTTCCGGAGTGAACCTAAGCGCTAACTTGGTGTAACGGAAACTGCAGCAACTAAGAAAAATAAACCTCTTGGCCCGTATATGGTTCATTCTTCTATACTAAGATAATCAGCCTCAATCCTGCCAACACCGCTTGGTGTGATGTTCTCAAACTCGCACACTTTCTGAAATTCGGAAGCTGGCTCACATTGTGGAGTCCCTGATATGCGACGGTGTACACGAATATTTATTATCTTTTAATTTCGTTTCATCCCAACGGCATGGCTTCAGGAAGTGTCATTCTTGTATAAACAACATGCTGACTGCGGTGGACAGATGGACAACCATCCTTGATCTCAAGGTGAAGGTTGAAGTCGTTTACCTTGGCTTCCCAAAAGCTTCTGATGGGGTCAACCATATATGTCTCATCAATAGGATCAAACGATTGAGTTTCATATCACCTCTGGTTGACTGGATCACTTCATACCTAAAAAACCTACGATTCATAGTCAGGGTTACCTTCACTTTCTCTCAGTCTATGAAATGTCTTAGTAGGATCCCTCAGGGTTCAATACCAGGACCTGTTCTCCTGATTTATATAAACGATCTTCCACAACAGGTATCGTCTTATGCTTGTGGTGGTCGGTATTCAAAATAATCCTTAAACTTCGTATACAGTTCGTCTTGATAACCGTCCTATATAACGTCTTAATGGTATATTAATCAGAAGGCGAATACAAAGCGTTGATTACGTTCATTACGAGACCACGCACATATATTTAAAATTACAGATGCGTTAAACGAGCATAGGAGAGTTATGCCGCAAGGCAAGCAAGCGAGCGAGTGAGTCAACGAATATGAATACGAGCAAGAGAGTACAATCAAGCGAGCGAGAGCGAAAGAGCAAGAGCAATGAATATGAATAACATGGACATCTATATACATAGTGAAATGAATGAGTCATCGAATCAAATGAGTGGTTAATAGTGAGGCTATCATAGGGAATGCATGTGTGGGCTGTAAGCAATATGCAAGCATACATGTCCGTACATTCGCAATAGTAATAAAGATACAATGATATAGATAAGTTGCTGTTAGGATGACCCAGTTCGTTAATAAGTTAATAAAATGACTTGGTAGAATTATTGTGAACAAACTCAATTTCACTTGATCTGTTATACGCTAACTGTGACAAAAATGCCTTTCGAGCGAACCTTGCACTGGTAACACTGAAGCACATTTCTAGCCAGTTTGACGGAAGAACTTTCGATATAATATTCAGCAGTTTATTCGTCCTCATTTAGAGTATGAAAACATTGTATTTTGACAATCACTCCAAAAGGATAAAGACATTCTGGAACGTATCCAACGGCGAGCCACGAAATTAGTTAGGGGAGTCAAATTCAAGCCTTATGAAGAGCGCCTCCAATCACTTAATCTTTATCAATTAGAGTATAGGCGTCTTAAAGGTGACCTTCTAATAACTTACAGTATCCTTAGCACTTCTGGGTATCTCCTTAAACACCTACTTAAGCTTAGTCTCAATACAAACCTAAAGAGTAACACTCAGAAATTGAAGAAACAACATAGCAGAACGGACTGTAGATGCAAGTTCTACTCCTTAAGAGTTTTCAAATGCTGGAATTCTCTGCCGACTGAACTAGTCCAAGCGACTTCACAGAAGCCCTTTAAGAGGAAACTTGATATATTCTTAAAGACTAAGGAAAATATCTTATTATGATTTATCGATTTCTTCTGCAGGTTCATTTTGTCTGCTGCCATAATTAGGATGTCGTCTAAATAAGCTGCTGCCCCTGAAATACCTTGCAACATGGTATCCATAATTTGCTGGAAAATAGAGGGCGCCGTCTTCACCCCAAAAGGTAGTCGGTTATACCGGAACAGACGTTTGTGTGTGTTGATCGTCAGGAAATCTTTGCTTTCATCAGCTACCTGGATTTGTATATACGCGTCTAATAAGTCCAATTTCGCAAAATATATGTCACCGTTCAGCTTAGCGAAAAGATCTTCCGGTAAGGGTAACGGCTACTGGTGAGACTCTAGAGCTTCATTTAATCCCGTAGAGTAGTCTGCACATTGACGGACACTTCCATTTGACTTCTTGACCACCACTATTAGTGCAGCCCAATTTGAGATGTTCACAGGTTCGATAACACCCATTTCCTGAAGTCGTTTTAACTCTTGTTCAACTATTGGAAGAACAGCATAAGGTACAGGTCTTTTAGGTCGAATGATGGGAGTAGCTGCAGGTTTTATGGTTAACAATGCTTTGGCCTTCGTACATTCTCCCAATCCTTCTTTAAACATGTTTTGGTGTCTTTGTAGCACTGCATTTTTCTTGTTCCACTATAAGATGTTGTTAGCTTCGGTTCGTCTGCTGATGATGTTAATAGAACGGTCTGCCAGTTTAAGTGTCTCTATAAGATCTAACCACATTAAATCGAGTGCTGGCTTCTTTGTAACATATACTGTTGCGTCCATTGTTACAGTACCTTTAGAAACAGTGCAGGGCACTTCTCCAACAAGATTTAACGTCCCTCTGGATGCACTATGTGCTAGTTGTGTCGTTGGGAGAACTGTGTGTCTCCCAATGTTCCTCCAAGTTTCTGGGCTGAGTAGGGTAACATCAGAAGCTGTATCAAGCTGAAGGCGAGTACGATGTTTATTAATATCTAAAGTTACGTACCCTTTTGTTGGCAATTTCGTGCTTGATTATGTGATACCAATATTCTTTTTGTTAATTCGCCGGACCTTGAAGTAGGGTTTTCCAGAATATTGTTTGTGGTTTTTTTTCTGCAGCTGGTTTCAGTCATGGAAGACAACTTGAACCTCTCACACTCTCAGTTCACAATTCCCGCTGTTTCACCCAGTCATCTCCTGGTTCTTTCGTCATCTTCAAGCGTTCGTGTTCCATCGTCTCAAGCTTTCTTGGAAGTATTCTGACTTTTGAGGCGTCATCAACTCTGCAGAGATCATTATAGAACAAATCTTCATATTTCTTAAACCAAGAATCAAAAGTTACACCTGCTACACCGTCAAAATTGAATTCATGGATAGCACTAATGATTGAATCAGTATGATGTACTTGTGATTCACCGAAAGCAAGGTTTTACTGGGACAGGCACAATTTCTGCATCAAAGCTTCCAAGATTCTGATTTGTGACTGTTCAAATCTACTCTCTTGACGCTACATATAAGCTTCTTGTTGCTCCGAAGAAATATTCATTGTCGTTTTATCGTCGCCATTGATAAGTCTTGTTAATTTGAACGCTTTATTCGGTTTTTAAGCTATTCTGGTAACCGTCAAGCTAGAACTACGCAGCGACCTCAACTCGAGAGAAACGGCGCAAAATAAGCGAAAAGCGCTTTACTCCAAAGGTTCCTTTTTGCACAGGAAAACACGGGTATTTATATATGTTAACATTTATTAAACCAACATCATATTTCGGCCAATCCCTTAAAAGACATTATGCTACTGATCAATATTAGCACGTCATGCGGATATTCTAGAAAACTCCATCATGCTATTATTAGCTAGGACTCTCCGGCTGTTTTAGGGCCACTGTGGGCTCCGTTGCAGTTCTCAAAAAGCCGACTCAACATAAACCTTTATTCATTAGAGTATAGGTGTCTTAGAAGTGACCTTCTAAAGGCTTACAGTATCCTTAAAACCACCCTTTAAACACCTCCCCAAGTTTATCTCCAACACAAAACTAGGGATAACACCCAGAAACTAGAGACACAACACAGCAGACTCGACTGTGGACACGACTTCTACTCCATAGATTATACTACCTAAATTCCTCCCTGGAGGTATTGGTAATCTACTGCTATTAGACGCGGAAGCGCGTTAAGCGAAGGCTTCTTCCATTCTGTCCACAACCATTTGAACCATTTGAACATTAACGACTCAAGAGTTACGAAAGGAAGTAACACTGTAAAAGACATTCTCAGTTGTCAGTAATACTGTGAAAAACATTGAAATAATGTAAATATTCATTTATGATTCATTTAAGAGCATACTGACATACATTCATTATTGCATTTTATTTTGTTTAACCTTTCTACTACTCCACATTATCTTACTCAAGACCTTTCGAAAATACTCTTCATTTCCATTTCCATCTATTGACTGTGAGAGATTCCCTTGTCAAGTTATTACTTTAAATTTAATTTTATACAATAAAATGGATACTCCTGAGTTGACTGAATATGAATCCGCACCAAGTGTTCGTGTCCATAAACGTGAGACAAAGCACAGGTAACCAGTATTTTAAAGAAATGATGTGCCATTATTCAGAATATTCGTCAACCGGAGCTTGCAGCTAGACAAGATAAAGTTTTTTGGATTCGATATGGACTATACTCTAGCACGTAAATCTCATTAATTTTCTCTTCAGAAACAACACATTTCAAACCTATAGAGTATAAATCACCACAATATGAAGAGCTTGCATTTAATATTATAAAAAACCGGCTGATAAAACTTGGCTATCCTCCGAAAACTTCCGATTTTGTTTATGATCCCTCGTTCCCACTGAGGTTAGTTGAATCGAGTATTACGTATAGTGTTTGTGATGTGTCCCTGTTGGTAATGTCAGATTTCCTATTCATGTACTGCAAATTCATATGACTTATCTTGTATTGCATACTCGGTCAGATGAACGTCTGTAATTACGATAAGTCAAAGGAAAAAATGTCTTATGTTGATCTAATAGTCCATTTTGTGTGGAGACAAAATTTGATTTCAGGTATAGTGTATAACGATTGAACAGATTTCTACATTTTTATGGCTAGTTAATTTTTTAATTGACTGTTCGACTTAGTATTTATTTTTCTGAATCCCATTTAATATTCTTTCAAAAATGCAATAAGGTATATTTCATCGACGTCCACAACTTTGTTTCATTCGCTAGACTTTACGTGTACTCGTGGTTGGATGATAATTACCTTTCTTTTCATCTGTTAAAACCTTTTGTATTGCCTTGTATTTCAGAGGCCTATGGTTTGATCGGCTTTATGGTACTCTGTTAAAAATGGACCAGTTTGGCAATATTCTTTCATGTTTACGTGGATTTAATTTTATCCAAAGGTAAGTAGTCAATTTAAATGTCTTTATAGCATATAGGGAAGAACTTCGATCAATGTATCCAAATAAGTTTGTGAAGTACGATGAGAAACGAATTGAAATAATGAACACTTTATTCAGTCTTCCAGGTAGGAAAACTCTTTAATCAATTCACCTTTTTAGAAACTTACATACTCTCGTGTATAATCCATATGTTCGTCAACGATCCTGATTATATAAAAGTTGAGCATGGTGTCAAAAAAGGATCTCTGTATATGTCATACGCTTCAATTTATGAAGATGTGAGAACCGCTTGTGATTGGATGCATAGAGTAGGTGGAAGTATAAATTTTCAAAGTATTACCTTCAATTACTTGTTCTTCGTATGATTTTAATGATGCTTAATTGTGGATATCTTGTTTACATTTTTCATTTAAGTCTATGGCATTCAGTGAATCTACCTCTGAGTCATTTTTTTCAGGCCTTCTAGTTAGTTGTAGACTATTTTACGACCAACCACAGATTTCATCTGGTGCTCGACAGATATTTGGAAGTGTATATACACATTGAGTAATAATATGTAGTTTTGGTTTCATTATAATTTCATTCTCATATGTGGTAGACTGTATATATGGTTAATGCTTAGGGAATATATAAGTAGGTGGCTGCCTTTCACATTGACTTTGATTATGAATACAGTGGATGCGTAAAGTTAAAATTGGAAGGTGTTAAGTACTCAAGGTCAGCTTTTCAGTAGGTCATACTTAAACGTCATAGGTTTACGAGATTTCCGTCAAGAATCATTGTTCTCTTCCTTTTCATTTCAACAATAAATCAAATGTCATTCAAGGTTATTTAGAGAAGTTTTGTCTGCTTATCTGAAAACATGGGGTAATTTTGTAATATACTTGCAGGTTAGAAATTACTCGGATGAAACTTGGTCGGTTTAAGTCTTATAACTGCATTCATGTTCTCTGTCCTGTCCCAAAATTATTGCATATATATTATTGTGAGTTGTCGAATCGCAAGTCTTATTGTTATTTATCGTTACTAATATTGCTACTGGTCCTCTTATGTTTGTCTCAATAATTCCATCTCACTGTGTTGATGTGATGTGGCAAATTAGGTTGGTAATGACTAAGTGACTGACTCGTTAATTTTTCGATCTTGATGATAGTCTAGGATAAATATTTGATGTATGGTGTACGGATACTTTGACTTACGATGTTAGGTAAATAAGTAGTGCACATGAATTCCCTGGATTAAGCGTACTTTATTGTATGTCATCTTTTTAACGTTCCTGTTTCAATGTTGTTGAGGAATATCAACAATCCTGATATCATTGGTCCATCTTTTGTCAGTAGTTGTAAAATCAGTAAAAAAAACGTACGTTGGAGGATGTTCCAATGTGAACACGCATTTTAAAGCGAAAGTAAACGCCATGTATTTATTTTTCTTATTGGATCCCCACTTCTATTCAAAAGTCCCATAATCTCCATTCTGTTGATCGTTAGCGAAATGTTGGCACAAAAATGTGTTCTTTGTTTTTTCGGTAGACTAATATATCGCATTAGTACATGTGCTTATTAATTGCTTCATTGAATTTTGATGGCTATAAGACGTAAAGTAATCGTAGATAATGGTTGGAAGCCTTTTTAAAATAGTTCAAAACCATTTGTTGGTGTGGGTGTGTTCATTATTTTTCTTCCTTTGGATTTAAATCTTTAGTACTTTGTTTTTTGTTTTTGTTCCTCTTTTTGGAGCTTTTATTCATGTGTTGATGTTGTTTTTAACTACGCGTATTTGGCTTCTGTTGTGTTAATTTTTTGATATTCTCGCATAGTGTGTTGATTTGCGTTGATACAATTCTCATCACGTCTACATTGTTTGTTTCCCAAATAGTAAATAGTTGTAGTTAAGCCCGTCTGAAGTATCTACCAAAGAGCTCCTGTCTAAACTTAAAATTCTGACACTAACTAGTGGATAAGGAAGAAGACAGCTGGATCATCCTCATTCATCTTAATGAATTCTATGTTATGATTAATTAACTTCGTTCATGAATGTATCAAATGGCGATAAGATTGGTAAAATATAAACTCTGCCAAACTCAAGTTATTACTGGAGCTAAAGCTCAAGTTAATACATTTAGTGACAAGTCCAAAGTACACTTTAACGTCACTTCTAGTTGGAAATAATTAGCTTAGCGCACAAATCGTTCAGTTGACTAGAATGAGATATTGCTGGTGTAGTTCGACAAAAATATTGCTATGGTCTTCCAATTGGGTTTAAAATAATGATAATATTTCTCGATGTGAAATTCGATAATTTTGATCTCATTCTTTAATTGAGTTTCCTGTCATATTACACTATCATTGAAAAGCATTCCACTCAACTTATATTTAATAGCTCATCATTATATAAGTGTTCCTCGATAATAGCATTGTGGTTCCAATTCATTGTGGAATAAAATTAAGATTTGCAATTTACTGTAATTTATTGACACATACACCCTTTAACGTTTTTGTAAATTTTGTTGCAGGGAGAACTAAAACAACGTACTTTGGCAAATATTGGTGAATATGTTGAAAGAGATCCTCGTTTATGTACTTTGTTAGATCGGTAAATTTATTTCATTCTATCTTAATCGTATGCTTAATTTATTATTGAAAAGGATCGAACTTTTTTCAGACGATGAAATATTTCATTCTGTTATTTTTTTGGTATTATAGGCTACGAGTGAATGGTGCAAAAGTGTTTTTGTTAACGAACAGTGACTTTGAGTACTCTCATGTGAGTTGTTTTTCTCTTTTTATCATGAAAAATCAAGTATTAATTATTTTAATCACATAATAATAGTATTCCGAGGTAGTTGAAAGCTATTAGTTGGTTCGACATCATGTATTTTTACCGTTAATTTTCCAATATTTTCAAGTGATATGACTTGTCTTGGTGTATCTTAAAATATGAATACAGCGGTGTTGAGTGCTGTTAGAGATATGACAGCGGTTGTAGCCGAATGACTGGTCTTAAAATATGGTCGATAAGTTGTGTGTAATACACATTTGTCCTGGTTTAATTAAAGGACAGTGATTTAATTCGAATTGTTGTTTTCCTTTTGATTTTCAACTAAAAAATGATTAGAGACTTTAAATTTCCGTGTGAATTTCCATTTGATATACGTGTAATTTCAATCATTAAAGAAACAATTCTATAAAATCTTTAGACATTAATGTTTTACACCCCAAGATAGATCAGTCGTTAATTTTCTACCTAAAGATACTTTAATCAGCATAGAGTACATAGACAATGTGGTTGTTTTCAGTGAAAGCAACCAGCCAGTCAGCTACAATGTAGGACTAAGCACATATATGCATCGCTCCAAGTTGCCACACCTTATTAGCACAACAAGATGAACACCAAATTCATAGATGCTGTTGCTTCAATGGTAGTAATATATAAAAGAAAGATTGCATATGAGAATATAATACAGGAAAAATGAATTAGTTCGTAGAAAGGAATGTATAAAGCAATTATAATCTAGGGGTTTAAGGGCAGACAAAGAGTGTATAAATCGACGCCACTGTGATCAATTCTGAGCCATGTTACCCAGAGTCTCCAACCATTGGTTACGATAGTCGCGCATACCCCAACCAAGTAGTCTGTATCTACCAACATGGCTAAAACTAGAAGTTAGTAATGTTTTGGACTGATGTTACGTTTCGGTTTGGCTGCCACTAACTTTCTTCCAACCATCATAACACTAGTCAACATTGCGCGTCTTAGTAATCGGTGTTCATGCATATATAACACGTGGTTCAAACATCTCAGTCTGTGAAGACTTACAGCCTCATCAACTGATTTACCATCATTCTCTAATACCCTGCATCTTACTTTACCCGGTGAACCCAGCAAATGTGAGCTACATTTCTAAGACATCTGTGATCAAATACTGGCAGCTTACGAATATCTTATACTCTTAATGGCCACGTTTCGCAGCCGTAAATTAGAACAGGACGAACTGCCGCGCAGTATAGTCATTCTTTTATTGATAGACCGATATATTGACTTCGCCATAGGTGACGTAAGTTGGCAAAAACCAGTTCTTGGTAGGAGATCGATGCCCAAAAATTCAGTCAACAAGAACATTATTTCCAGGTGTATGTCTATGATGAAATTAAACAGAAATTAAGGTAGTGGACAACGTTGCCCGACACCACTTGAGGTTGCAAAACTAAATGAAAGTTTACCATAAGCTCTGAATCGACTAGTAGTGTTCGAGTAACAAGCCTTCACAAGGTTTATGTACTTCTGAGGTACACCTTTCAATTACAGACACGTCCACAGAACCTCTCCGTCTGCAGAGTCTAATGCTGTTTTTAGGTCAAGAAAAACTATCGTTGTCGGACGCCGATGACCATGTCTGTGTTCTAAGATCTGACGAATGATGAATATGTGGCCGATGCAGCTGTTTGGTAATGGTGGGTAGTTGTAAAGTAGCTGAAGGCTATCTGAACTTCCCCTAAAGTGTTTCGCCCATCGTTCTAAACGTCTGGACTGAGAAAGGGATTGTGAGAATATTTAAGATGCGTTTTTTCATCTTCTGAATTTGGAAATGTACCTTTTATGCAAATGTCTGAATGTTTAAAGAAATCAAGATAATTGAAGATATTGTCAGTTATATGCTGATGCGTAGGACATGGCACATGTTTGGTTACAATAACTGTATTTCTAAGCCAAGCATATAAATCTGTATTTGCTTATTGAATTACACCAATTAATCAGGACTCTATTACATTATTGTTCATAATTTGAAATCGCTCATATGTACATGTATTTAATTAATAAATATAGTTCCAATTTCGGCTGATCATTAGATTGTTTTGTGTCGTTTTACATAACTCTCTCATTGTTTACAATATTCTAGAAATAAAATTTGCTAAGAAGAGATTTAATTTTTGATGTTCTCATAGGAATTATAAAATAATATGTTAATTCCCCTATAAAAAACCTTGTGAAAACTAATTTCACACACCTTTTCATTTTAGGCAATTATGAGCTTCATTTTGGGAGGTCCAAGACCTGATGTAAGTTTTAATGATTTTGAATGAGTGTTTTTTTTAAAAATGACCATAGTTTAGTCGGACAGGTTTTGTGGAGATGGCTCTTTCGAAGATTGTGTTTGTCACAGTTTGATATCAGTTGAAGTACCATTGAAATTTCCGTGGTTCCGTGTTCGTTGAGCATTCACTTCATAAACTGAAGGTTCTAGATTCTATCTCCGGCAGGATCATGGTTGGATAGTGCGAAGGAGTCTAATGCTAGAACGTGACACCGGTTTTGGCCTTCCTGATTGTGTTTTGAGTTTGATCTATGACAAACACAACCTACAAATAATAATAATAATACTAGAATAAGAAGTAAATGTTTAAAATAGACATGTTTTGCAAAAACTTGTTTCAGAGATCTTTACGCTCATGTTGTAGTTCATCAGTTACCATACACAACAATTGTGTTTACTACTCAGTTAATCAACTGATTTTTCTGTTTAACACATATTTCATACTACCGGTTAAATAATCTAACTCCAACCTTTGCATTTCCTATGTAATATAAATTACCACATTATATTTTATTGTAATACAGTTTACCATTCGCTTTTGACCCTAACTTAATGTATGACGATGTCATCCAAGATCAAAGCTTCATAAATAAACCATCCAGCTTATAAGACTATATTCTACAAAATTCATTGATCTGAGCTACAAATCTTCCCCACCTGCTATGTAAGGTATTTATAAGTTCCATATACCTGTTACATGTAAATAATAATGCTTAGGTTTGTGGATGGTGTCTATAAAATAGATTAGCATTATAATTATTTTATTAACCTCGAATCAAAAATTTGCCTTTTATATCTGAAAAAACACGTGATATAACTTGAAGTTTCCAACAATTACCAAAGTAGACTTACTTATTCGATATTATGAAGAACAAAAGAAACTTGGTATTCAAATGACCATTTTCCGCACTGAACAAATGCAGATGAAGACAACTAGTGCAGAAACAGCATCAATAGGCCTCGATATGCACAAAGAAAAAAGCAAGATCCTCGAATACAACACGGAGAATGCCAACCCAATCACACTTGGTGGCGAAACTCTGAAAGATGTGGAATCCTTCACGTACCTGGGAAGCATCACCGATGAACAAGGGGGATCAGTTGCAGACATAAAGGCGAGGATTGGCTGCATTCCTACAATTGAGGAACAGATGGAACTCAAAACAACTGTCAACCAATATTAAAGTCAGAATCTTTAATACGAGCGTCAAAACAGTCCTACTGTATGGAGCTGAAACTTGGAGGACTACTACAACCATCATCAAGAAGGTGCAAGTATTTATAAACAGTTGCCCACACAAGATACTCAACATCCATTGGCCGGATACCACCAGCAAAAGCCTTGTGTAGGAGAGAACAAACCAGCTTCGAACTGAAAAGGAAATTAGGAAAAGACGATGGAAATGGATAGGACATACATTGAGGAAATCACCAAACTACATTACGAAACAAGCCCTAATTTGAAATCCTGGAGGGAAGCGGAAAATAGGAAGGCCAAAGAACACATTATGTAGATAGATAAGTTGAGGTTTAAGATCATTTAAGAAAAAGAGAAACAAAACATTCAAAGAGTTCAAAGGAAAAAAATCATTTAAAGCAGAGGAACATGTTATAAAAATAGACGAATTATAAACAGTAAAGTAGTAATAATGGTCAAAGTTGAGATAAAGACAAGGGTCAAAATTGATCTAATGAATAGTTCAAAGCTTTAATTATTGTTCTATCAAGAAATGAAGAACAAAGATGAAAAATACATTTGAATGTTTAACTAAATTCTATAAACAATCTGTAATTTAATACATTAAGGCTATATAAATGATAGAACGATTGGACATTTAAGCAAATCTGTTATTCGAAAGATTGTTTTAATTGTCCTCATATTTATTTTCAACTTAATAAATAATTATCTGAGTAACATTCACTTCTACTAGGGCATATTCATACAGGATAATTAAAAGTTCTATATTTAATTTACTAAAGATAGTATGTTCAATGTTAAATATCGTTAAAATGAACTTGAAATTCAAGGTGACATCCCTAACACTGCTACACGAGATAAGGTAGAAATATGTAATTCGAGTTGATGGCATTTTATTATACAGCTCTGTTATCACGGCATATACTATGTTAATCAACTATTTTATGAGAATCGAGTTGTCCTAAATAAACAATATAAGAAGAAACTAGATAAATGACGAAAGCGGCTTAGCTACGACATTATAACCATTTCGGAGTGATATATATCGTGTATTATTATATGTATGATTTATTTATTCGAATAAACATTGGTACAAATAGGCACTAAAATATATATGCGCCACACGAATCATAACATTTTTAAATGGGCTGGGATGCTACTTGGATGCCCAAACCAAAACAAGTGGTTTTCTTTGATTCTAATCTAATCTTCAAGTCAGTTGACCAACTCTAGATGCCGTCTCGTATTAGCCGATGGCTAAGAATGGGTTCATACCCCATTTGTTTTCTCAGGATTCTGGAGCCCACGTTCTCTGGTTTGAAATCAGGGTTTTCTGACTCCCCTAATTCAGTCCTCCGTACCCACCAACCCGATCAAAGCGCCGGACATTCACTGTTCGTCCTCTCGATTTCGTAAATAACACCTCTGCTACAAGAAGGTAATGACTACGACTTTTGTGACAATGGCTATGTACAGATGACTATATAAAGGCATTTCGAAAATAACAGACTCTCACCTTCAGCAGTACCATAGCATTCGGATGTCCTGTAGGATATATGAGATAGAAACCAGTATTTCTTAGTAGGAAAATTTTAATGTTATGATTGTGAATAAACAATATAGCGAAAGATGATCCCATTCCAGTTATAAGGTACCTGTATTCATTCCACTTTTTGTTTTCTTCATTTTCTTCAAAGCAGTAAAACATTTTCTTACAATAATTGCCACTTTTCTAGTTTGAGTTATTATTTATCCATTTTCATGCTTCAATTATGAAATTAATACCATTTTTAGTTGCTCCTTTTCTTTATTCAAATAAATGGCCTTTAGTGGTGAGGATTTTTCCTCTCAAAAGGCCTTACCGCCGGAGACGGAAATCCGTGAGGTAAGGTGAGGTGTGACATTTTTAGGATTAATCTTTTCTGACCCCTTCCTCCCTTGTGAGAAGGCAGCATTGCTGCAGATGCTGGTTGTCCGAGCGAAACACCTTACTGCTGTTACATTCTTCTACATTCAGCAGTACGACTTCGCCCTCAGACCTTGAGTTCCTACTTTTAGTCTTACCGTTCTCCAATTGACCTGCCTGGCATGGTAGAACTTGAAAGAACATATGTTCCAGCAAATTTAGCACAGTTGAGTCATCGCAATAGGCAAGGCCGACCACCCCGTCAAGGTAGCAGCTACGGTCGGGTTGTCTTTTATTTTTTCCGACATGTGCCCTTTAATATATATAGTTTAGCGTCAGTCACTATAGTTTCTTGATAATAATGATTGTTCATTAGCAGGTTTTCTATGTTAACTAGTAGTTACTAGGGTTTTGAGGAAAACATAACTATATAATTTTCTTTATTAAATTAACACTATTGTGTATAAAATAGGTCATTAGAAACACAATTTGTTTTTAAAAAAATAACGATTAATTGTAAATTACTTTCAGGTAGGAAATTTGTCCTTCAATAAATATAGAACATTTTGTGATTGATTGATTAGGAAATAGTGTTGATTTTTTATAGAACCTATACATTGAAATATATAATCACGTGTGTGTACTTTTAAAAACACATAGAGGAGGGGGAAAACTTAGTTTTTCATGAATTTGTATTGATTTTGCGGTGACATAGTGGTTTCCTTAGAGGGCCACGTCTCGAGCCTTCGATCTAAAGATTTAATGCACAAGGCAGTGGAGAAACGTTAAAGAGATGCAATCCCGTGGTAACCGGTGACCAACGATTGGTTCATACGTCAATTGTTCCTTCAGGATACTGGAGCCCATGTGTACCATTGGTTTGGAATCTGGGTTTTTCAACTCCTCTAGGTGGATCCCCTATATCCACCAACCCACTTAAAGCGCTGGATATTCGATTTTTGTCCTTTCAATTTCGTAAACAACACTCTTGCCACGGAAAGGCAGTGAATAGGACTTCTCTGGCAGTGTTTGTATGCACGTGGCGACGTGAGAGCATTTCGATAGAGAGAGAGAGCTGACTCTCTCCACTCTCGGCAGTAATAAAGCATTTGGGTACCTTGAAAAGAAGTCTTCATTTCTATACAATATAATTCGTTATTATCACTATTGCGTTTTCAATAATTTTAATTTAAAGTACATTAATGTTTAAATAAGAAAACATTTTCTATCGTGTAATTTCTAACTTTTAACATTGAATGAAAGCTAAATAGAGATGATATCACAATAATAATTGATCACTTTCCATTTCCTTATAGTTCCACTAGTCTTAGAAGTTTGTAGAACAAGCTATTGTATATATTAAGTAATTCTATGCAAATTGTTGGTTACTTTTATACGTGTTAACAATATTTCCATTGTATTAAATATATGTTTAATCATCTTAAGTAAATGGTCATAACTTATGTTATTATTTTGATGGGTATATGTCATGTAACTTAGCTAATTTCCTGTTCACCTTTTCTCATATCCAAATAGTTTAGAAGTGATGTAGAATAAGTTAAAAATTAAATAAAAATTATTTCATAGTTAAGAGTTGATTTTTTATTTTCAATACAATATTGGGTATAGTTCATTTTTTGACTGGCTTGTTTGAATCTTCCAATTGATATTTAGGACTGCAGTTGATCGGTCTTTTATTGGCATATGTACATCCTGTACGTATCGTCTCGATATTACTTGAAGTCACAAGCATTATGAACAAAGATGTGTAGTGGCTAGCTGTGGAATACGGGACGCGCTTTTCGTCCCATTTTGGATTGGTTAGCTAGATGTCCCTGCTTCCCAAAGTGAACACCAACTCTGAAATGGTGGTAAATCCATCTGACGAGTTCGAAACAGAACAAAACGTGCGTCATTGATTCCTTTGCTGGCCACCATCCATCTTTGCTTATAATTTTAGGTATGTTATTATTTAACTTAACGATTAACAGTAAAATTCACTAATAATTTTCTCATACTTCTATAATATTTCAGTGATAAAAATAAACTTTGAAGAGATAAAACGTAATAATTTTTATGGTTATGATATGTTTGATCATAATGTCTTTATTCTTACGTCTGTTACCCTTCATGGAGGGGCATAGGCCGCCCACCGTTTCATTTTGAACCACAATTTGTTAATATTTGTTCACCAAGTCGATATATATATATATATATATATATATATATATATATATATATATATATATATATAGAGAGAGAGAGAGAGAGAGAGAGAGAGAGAGAGAGAATTGTGGTGTTTTTTTCTTTTCAATATTTAGTCATATATACAAAAAACACATTTCTTTCAACCTACTGTTCACGAGTTTTGTAATATATTATGGATAAGTGTCTATGTGGTTAAGGCGCTCTACTTTCAACCTTTAATTTTCATGTTCGAATTCGATACCACCACTTTGGTTTAGGGAAATTGAGTGGTATATCCAGTTCCCTTACAATAAGAGTGTAACTTGATGCCTAGTATTTGAATCTGCGCCTAGTACGTAACCTAATAAAGATAACGTTTTTCATAATATGCAAATCTACATGAGCTGTTTGTTGCTAATGGTATGTTTGATCATGATGAACCATTCTTGAGCTACATTAGGTATACGTACCGTTTTAAAGCAAATAATTTGTTGGCAACTGAGATTCAGTTTTTTCGTTTATTTTTAGTGTAATATTGTTTCGCTTCAATTGAATAGTATAAATAAGAGTAGGTATGTGGAAAATTCCTGGCACATTTGAAGTTTATTTAAGTTTTTTCATTTTTTGAAAAGACTGATATTAACTAACCACCTATTGAAACTGTAGACAGTGAACAGCTGTTTTGTCCTAATATGGAACAAGTCACATTTCCGTCAGGAACAACTGACCGCAATAATCTCAGGTCTTGTTGCATGATAGAGTGAGTTACTTTTAAGACCAAAGAATCTATTTCTACTTATTCATCTTCTCAATTCCAATAACCTTTTTACAAGAAGAAATAGCTGTTTAGTATTATGTGTTAATCAATGCTGATCTAGCGAGTCACTTTAAAATTATCCATCCCAACTTGAAAAAAGCTTGTTGCTTTGAATTAAGATACGTTTCATTACTTTATTTTGGTGGGGGGGGGTCATCCAATAGAGTTTAATTTATATCCCTTTTTCTTATTCAAGCTCAATGTATGTTATTCAGTTTTCATTGATGTATCACATTTTTACAATCATATTACTGAGTAGTATATATCCATGAAAGACGAAATGAATTCTGTTTATGTATGTATTTTTGAATTGTCACTTAGTGTATATCAAAGTACTTGTGAGTGAAAAATAATGTTTCATTTCGTTAAAAAAAATGCTTTGTATTTTAATAAACTTTATAGAACAGTCTCTGCCTATCACAATATTTTCTCTCAAAGTCTACTCTCTTTTTGTTTGTTTGTGTGTGTGTGTGTGAAGCTCATCAAATTACACTAAACCAACAAATGGTTTATTATAACAACTTTCGAATGTTACTGTTTATTTAATATTCGTACTGTATAATTGTTGCTTAGTACTTTACAAATGAACTAACCGGTGATATATTAATGTTGACATACTTTTTTTGTAACATTTATCATTCATTTGATAACTTGTCATTTTGAATGACTTATCATATGATATTGTAAATGTTCTCTTTTAGGATTGATGGATAATATTTATATTTCATAATAAGGATTTTAAGGTGTTTTCTTATCTGAGCTGTATGATATAAGTTGCAAAGCTCTCTTATTTTCTTTCTAGACAACATCTTCAGTATATCTTTCATAAAAAAAAGGAATTCAGGTCAAGAGAGAATGCAGTCTAAACTAATATACTAATAACCAATCAAATAACATGTCATAAGAGCTAACCTTTACAATTGATTGATCACTGGGTGGTGATCAATGTCATGCGTGTCTAGTCCTTATTAGTGCAGATCGAATGCTAACCTTTTGTTAATTATGGAAAAATAATAATATTGACTTGCTTCTCTTTAATGTATGTGCTGATCATATTGTCTTGAAAAGATATGCTTCACAACTAAATTATTCAGCTCAGAGAACATAACATTTCTATAATGATGAATGAATTTCGTAACATTTAATATTTGTCGACCTAGTTAAAGTGTAATTATAACAGACTAACGTAGATGTATTCTTACAACAACAAAAACTTTAACAGTGTGACTAGAATAGTCGATATAAATGAATGTATGCATATATTCATTTGTTTTTTTATTCGAAGGGTACAATTCGTAAATGGACAAGTTATTTTGATTACATTGTAACTGACGCAAGAAAACCAGCATTCTTTCAAGAAGGAACAATTTTAAGAGTTGTTTGTCAAGTTAGTTGAATTATTCTCATAATAAGTTTTTCTTTTCTTTTTTGTTTCATGTGAAAAAACATTAATGATGATGAGATAAATAATTTTTTTCTGGTTAGCGTTTTTTTAGTGAGTTAGCTTTCTACGGGATGGGGTCGCTAACCCTATGCCCAATCCTCCTCCTTTATCCGGGCTTGGGACCGGCAGTATCCCAGAAGGGCTCCAGGCGGAGTTCTCAAAAACATTACACTGATAAATTCGACAGGAACCTTTAAATAACGTTCCAAAATACACTAAAGTTGTATGAGGAAAGTCGTAATATTGTAAATCGTGTCGCAAAATATACAGTACTATAATGCTTGATATAATTATGGCATTTTAGTGTTAGAGATGAGTTGACCATAACAACAATTTTATTAAAGTTATATTTACGTCATAAAGTGATTTGGTACACTTTGTTAAATTAAAAAACTTTCATAGATTGAAGACTACTAAAATTTGTTTTTAGTCATCGAACATTTTAATGTCATTTTCAATATAGGGTTGTGGAAACTGTTGAATTTCATCAAAGTCATGAGCCGATCTAAGTAAGACCACCATTTGAAACCTGGAAGCACCAGCAGGCCACTTCGCCCTAGTGTGAAACTCCTCAACCGTGGCCAGTGGAGTTAATCCGTATCAAGTTTGAGGCAGACAATAGAAGATAATCGCGCAATGTTTTAGATTGATTGAGGTTAGACATTGACACTGCTGGATGCCGAATTAGTGGTCTAGACGTTGCGACTTTTGGATTTCATTGCTAACCGCATTTTTACGTTCTTGACCTGTCTACTCGACAATATACAGAAGATAACTTGTATCGGTCTAGATTAAGTCCTTGAACGATAGGTTAACTGGTTTAACCTTGAGGCTAGAATGCTTGTGCTTGAAGTGAGATTAACTGCCTTGGGTAGAGAGACGAAAACCACTCTGTCACCTGAAAATAGAGAGAAGACCAGTCAACTGGAACACTACCTTATTTATTCTCAATTCAGATTAGTGCAAAAATGTGTATGAATTAATAGATGAGCGACATGACCACAACGCAAAAATAATTAGAGAAATACAATTATTTTATTAGTTCAATTTGTGAGTTAATTGGAGCTAGACCACCATGGAAAACCTGGAAGCATTGAATGGCCGTTTCATTCTAGTATGGGACTCCTCAGCAGTGCGCATCCACGATCCCACCTCGATCCAGGTTTTCCATGGTGGTCTATCTTCGATTGACTCATGAATTCAACCATTAAATTACTATAATATTCACAAAACCTCTATCTGATTAAAATACAATTGTTCTCAAATCTGGTCATTAGGGTAAAAAAAATAGGGCACCGAAGGTACCATTTAAATTGCACAATAGTTTGGGAACAGAAAAGAGCGTGACAGTGAATCATACATCAAACGATAGCTTATAGTTTGTAGAATAAACCAAGAACAAAAATAAATGTTGGTATTTTACAAGCTTTAAATTAAGTGAAATAACGTCCGGAAAAACAGCTCCAGTTGTTTGTCATGGCTTTTTTGTTTCTCTGTTCACATCATGCACTTTCTCTATTCTACATAAATATTGAAAGAACTAGTTTGCATTTTTTTAATTATGAAATTTAATACCATTTTGTTCGACAATCAGTTACTATTCATATTGAACGTAGAGTCTGATGAATACAATGGTCTTGAGTGCTGTTAGAGGTATGAGGGCGGTTTTCAAATCCCGGTTGCCCACACAGTGAAAGGGTTGTTCCGGAGGTACCTGAAAAGGAAATTGGATTAGAGGCGGTCTCAGCGACCTGAGAGCGTGACCGCAGTGCCCAAGGGACAACTGCTTGAGGTCGGTCACACGATCTTTTTATGAGTAATTTCCGTACTTGTTGAGACCTTACCGCCTGAGACGGATGTCCGTGCGATAAGGTGAGGTGTGTATTTTTAGGGTCAACATTTTCTAACCTCGCCCCTTCTTGTGGGAGGGAAGCATCGTTACTGCTGTCACACCTCTGTACAGTAGACAGTACGACTTCGCCTTCGAACCTTAGGTTTGTTGCTTTTAGTCTTACCGTTCTTCAGCCGACCTGTCTGACATGGTAGGACTTTGAGGAACTATTGTTCCAGCCAGTATAGTTCGATTGGTTTTTCATGATAGGCAAGCTCGACCACTACGTCAAGGTAGCAACAACGGTCGTTGTAATTGACTGACTGTAGAGTCTGATACAAGATGCATAACAAAGGAATTGAATGGTATAAATATTATATTAGTAACCTAATGTTATAAAAATACCAGTCGCCTATGTACACATTTAATGTCGGTCATTTAATATGATACATAATGGAATTATTTGTACAATAATTTTATATAACACATATTAGTCATTATAAATGTACATGATGATGATTATTTTGTAATAAAATCAATTAATGTATTCAACAGAATTTTGTATTTATAATATAAATGGTATTTTTAATGTTATTTCAATTATTTATCCTCCTATTATATCATAAGTTTTGTCCGCATTTCCTAGTTTATAGAGTTTATTAAATTGATTGATATGTTCTATTTTAAAAAATCTCATTGATGTTTAGGGTTGTATTTGATCAGTTTGTTATTGATATATATACATCCTGTTCGGATAGCTTCGATATTGCCTTAATAGTCACAAGTATTGTAAACAAAGATAATATTTAGCTGACAAGTTCCATATAGGAAGAAACGTGCATCCTGGATTCCACCATTAGCCACCATATATATTTGCTTATAATGATTAACTAATCAACGTATTTCACTGACATGCTAATTATCTTATACAAAGATTCAATGTCAAGTTTAGATATGAGTTCATGTATAGTACAGATATCAATGAGCCTTCGACCTGAAGCTCTAATCCACAAGGCAGTGGAGCATCGTGAGAAGATGCAGTCTCATGGAAGCCGGTGACCAACTACTGGTTCATACGCCATTTGTTTCCTCAGGATACTGGAGTCCATGTGCACCATTGGTTTGGGATCCGGTTAAAGCGCCGGACATTCACTTTTCGTTCTCCCATTTTCGTAAACAACACTTCCGCTGTGAGAAGGCAGTGAGTAGGACTTCCCTGGCAGAGGCTATATACACATGGCCATGTGAGAGCATTTCGAGAGGGAGAGCGGACTCTCTCCACTCTCGGCCGTAGTAGGGCGTTTAGGGGCTTAACTGATTAAAGCATATGAATTTTAACCATTTAGTTACTGGCTCACAACTAGCTTCAACTATTTATATTTAAACAATTAAATAATAATATAACCATTCATAGAATTGTAATATAGCTCCAAAACCGATTACATGAATTCATGGTTATTAACTAAATTCTGTAAGCACTGATGGATAGTGACTAGCAGTGGAACCCAGGACGCACATTTCGTCCTATTTTGGACTCGTCAGCTGAATGTACCTGCATATCAGAGTGAACGTCAACTCTGAGACTCGAACCCAGTACCATTCGCTTCAAATGCCGTCACGTTATCCACTTAGCTACTGAGTCCTGATAGCCACTTTCTTGTGCAATGGGGTGAATTTCAATTCACTGTTAGCCAATATCCATTGTTGCTTACAAAAAAGCTTGTGAATTAAGGCAATATCGAGGCATACGCACAGTATGCACATATGTCAATAACAGACTGATCAATCGCAGTCACAAACCTTAATGGGAAGATACAAGCCAAACAATACCAAGTGAATTATTAACTAAATGTTATATAAATAAAAATGGTAATTGATTAAAATTATGTACATGACTAAAAAACTCTACTAGATACAAAGTTACATTTTCAGTTGTTATCAAAAGCTGTTATGACCAGTATTGTTTAAATTATTTTATGACATATTTATTTGTTAAGATTTATTGTCTTTTTATTTGTGTAATATTATTTCCTTCATTCAATTTATTTTATAAAGGATACTGGGCAGCCCAGTATTGGTCATCATATGGGTCCTTTAGAAACTGGTCAAATATATTCCGGAGGTAATTTTAAACTATATAAGTTTAATGCATATATATATAACATGTGTTGTGGACCGAAATTGAAAGTTTTATTCTTTCTCATGTGTATATAGTTTTTTTATAGTCCAGTGATTAAAATATCCCAAGGTTAAAATTAAGGAATAACTAATTCTGTTTGATCTATTGAACAACAAAATTGGTAACTGTTATTTTGAGCCAAAGAGTATGAATTCATTTTAGAATACACTATAGTTATAAAATGATTGTATTATTAATCGATATCACTTATTTTTTATACCTCTATTGAACCATAATCTATTTGATTACTGTACCTGGGCAGTATCACAGCCCTCACACAGATCGAATGAGATTTGTGTGGCGCATATGTATTTGATGCCTCCTTGTACCAATATCTATGTGTTTAAATAACTAAATAAATACTGTTAAATGTATCATTTCGTTTTGAAAAATAGATCCAATTATAGAAAGATTCGTGGATAATTATTTTCAGGGTCTGTGAAAAAAATTGTAATGTCATAAACAGTTATCAAGCGGACATTGTAACCGAGTTAAGCTGTTCATTGTAATAAAATTCATTTCTAGAATTTCTCAATGTAATAATTGTTCCTTTTTACATTGATATACATAATTGCTTCGACTAAATATACCTATTTGTTCTATAAATTACTCGAAAGTGTTTATACCTTCATGATTCATAATGTTTATTCATTGTTGATATTACTTATAAACAAAGTATATGTACAGTAATTTTTTCAATTACTTTCTATTTACATAACTTTATTAAATGAAGAAAACATACTCATAATGAATTCTTGTTAGCTATTAGAAACGAATAAAAACTTACATTAATATTGTATAATTTACATCCTATTAGTTGTTTGTATTGAACAGTTTACACATAATTAAATTCTGTTGTACATTTATGTATCTAATTAATTTTTCGAAAGAATTATCATCCAACCACCTAATGGGAAGTAAAATATTTCCCTTTCTCTTTCCTCCGCGGGATATTTAAATTCAGACTGTCTGCCAAAGTTGTAGTATAACTAATATTTACTATGCTTAATGTATCTTAGAAAACTATTAGTATTTCTTTAGTAAATATTTAAGATGTTCTCTTCTTTTAAATCCTAATTTCTGAAATATACTCCATTTATCTATGTTTATTTGGTCTGTGATGATAATATATTTATCTTTTTGTGATAGGTTTGATTCACAATAATTAGGATTGAAGTTACATTTATTTTTATAGTAATCTCAAATGGATTGTTGATCTTGTTGATGATGACATAATCTAATTTATTTAATAATGAAACGATGTACTCAGTGATCAACTTTACTTTTCTTAAAATTTTCTACATTTAAACTAACGTGAGAATGCATAAATGCGGATGACAATTTGAAATTTATTATTTTCTGTACTACTTTTATTTAAATTCATAATAGCATGGAGATTTGTAGAGATTATAGTATTTTCAGTTGAATTTACAAGTTGATGTAAGCTAGAATACCACTGATAATCTGGATGGCCGTTTCGTCCTAATATGGGCCTCCTTAGCAGTGCTCAGTGGTATAAAGGCTTGGTTGAGCAATATAACGAATTCCTTGAATCTAAACATAAACTATTGGATACCAGTCAATAGAACTTTATTACTCGTCGTAAGACCCGGAAATGCTGAGTTCTAGCCACACTAGGGGAGTTGTTCTTGCTCATTGCTGAGGACTCGTCGCATTCTGGTGTAGAACCACTATTTAATGTTTTCTGATTTTTAGTGATTGTTTAACTAAGGTCAATATATAATACCAACTATACAATTAAAAAAACTGTACAAACTCTCAAATAAAACATTCATTTTCTCAATTTTTTATCATTTCTCGGAGTAATGTGTCCTTTGATCTTCCTCTTTTCCTTTGGCCTTGAGGATTCCACGTGAGGGCTTGTCTTGTGACGCAGTTGGGTGCTTTCCTCAATGTATGTCCTATCCACTTCCAGCAGTTCTTCCTGATTTCTTCCTCCATAGGGATCTGGTTTGTTCTTTCCCATAGTTGGTTGTTGCTACTAGTGTCTGGCCAACGTATCAGAAGTGTTTTGTGTAGACAACTATTAATAAACATCTGTACCTTCTGGATGATGGCTTTCGCAGTTCTCGAGGTTTCCACCCCATACAGTAGAACTGTTTTGACATTTGTATTGAAAATCCTGACCTTGGTGTTGGTTGACAGTTGTATTGATTTCCAGATGTTTTTCAGTTGTAGATATGCTGCTCTTGCTTTACTGATTTGCGCTTTCACATCTGCATCAGAAATGTATTTCACTAGGGACCCTTTTTTTCAAAGTACACATTTACTATTCAGTATTATAAAATGTTATTATTATTATTATTATTACTATATTGTTTCAGGATCATGTGAAGTTTTTTCTCATTTAATTGGTGCTCGTGGTAAAGATGTTTTATATGTTGGTGATCATGTTTATGGTGATATATTAAAATCGAAAAAAACTGTCGGTTGGAGAACATATTTAATTATACCAGAATTAGCAAATGAAATTTATGTATGGAAAAAAAAGAAATCATTATTTGATGAATTACAAAAAATTGATAATAATTTAGAAACAATCTATCGGTTAGTTAATTGATTTGTGATTATTTTTTTCTTCCGGATGAAATTTTTCGTAAAAAGAAAATAAAACTGATTAAACTTTATTTTATACACATAGTACCCTTTATTATATTAAAGAGAGTAAGAACAAAGATTGTTGCGGTATGATATGAATTCATTTTATTTCTTCAGGTTTTTTTTCAATGTTTTGACCCCCCAAATGCCCTGGTATGGCCGAGAATGGGGTGGGCTCTCCCACCCTTTCGAAATGCTCTTACACGGCCACACGTATACAGTCTCTGCCATGTAAGTCCTACTCACTGCCTTCTCGTGGAGCGGGTGTTGTCTACGAAAATGAGAGGACAAAAAGCGAATGTTCGGCGCTTTAACCGGATCCCAAACCAATGGTGCACATGGGCTCCAATATCCTGAGGAAACAAATGGCGTATGAACCAATCGTTGTTCACCCCGTATCATGGGACTGCATCTTCTCACGATGCTCCACTGCCTTGTAGATTAGAGCTCCAGGTCGAAGGCTCGGGGAGTGGCCCCTTAAGATAACCACTCATTTCGGTTTGGGCACCCGGACAGTATCACAACCCACATACAAATAAAGTGTGGCGCATATATATTTGTTACCCTCTTGTACCAATATTTATGTGTTCAAATAAATAAATAATAATTAAAATATTTGAAAATCTACGTTATTACAGATGAGATGACATACTTATCTATACGAAGGTGATTAAAGATGAATAAATGCATCATGGTATAGCGAAGATTTCAATCGAGTTAACAGGGTCATAAGAATTTTGTTTTGGATAAATAAAGTTTTTTTGGAGGAGGGGCTTCCAGAACATCAACATAGTGATTAGAACCCACGAAGTTAACAAAAATTAGATGATTGTGTTACCACTAACTGTGCATGCAAATTTACATGTATCTCCCAAAGCAATTACATTGGTAGAATAGAAAGGAGAACCTACATCTTATTTAAAGAACATATTTCGACAAGTTTAAGATCAAATGGGTTAAAAGCACTCAACAGTGCCATCGCAAGACATCTTGACACAGAACATGAAGTCGATACACTGAAGTCCTTCAAGGTGATTAACAAACAAACTCAAACCTTTTGAAATTTGTCAAAGTGATAGCAATCAAACGTCTCACACCAGATCTATGTACACAAAAATACACAGTAATAAATTTTTTTTACCCTGGTAACAATAAACCCGCTATATATTTATTTATTACGGCATTCATTACTCCAACTCTTTCTGGAGTTTAAAATTACATCATTCATAACTGACTGATTTCAATTAAAATCTTTATTACCATTATTCTATTGTCAGTTACTTCATTACATTTTTTTTAATTCCATGATTTTTGATCACTATTTTAATGTTCTGGAATCTTCCCTCCCAAACTTTATTAATCCGAAACAAAATTTTTATGACCTTATTAACTCGATTGAAATCTTCGCTATACCATGATACATTTATTCATCTTTAATCACCTTCGTATAGATAAGTATGTCATCTCATCTGTAATAACGTAGATTTTCAAATATTTTAGACTGTGAGCAGTTGATGAGAACCTAACGAAATAATAAAATGAATTCATATTATACCGCACCAATCTTTGTTCTTTCTCTCTTTAAACTTTATTTGTAGAAAACAAGAAAAACAGTTTTGTATTGCTTACCTGTACTAGTTTAAAAAATTCTTCTTAGGATTATGTACAACATAGACTTCATACAGGATCGAATCTATGAGTTTTTTTTCGGTAAACACGTGATACATTCCGGCACGTATTTCAAACTAGTCATATTTTTCAAACTCCACTAATTCTGATATGAAGTAATCGTTGTATATTACTGTTATGACGTGTGGTGTCCGAGAGCTGATACTGATACACATACTTCTTATACCCTAATCTGACATGCTTAAGTTAAAAGATTGGAAATGAGAAGGAATTTTATTCAGTACTCGAATCAAGAAACACCTATGCACCCGTTTATGTATATATGGCTATCTGGACTCAGTAGTCAAATGGATAACGCGATATCATTTTCAGCGGGCAATGCTGGTTTTGAGTCCTGGACTGAATACCAGGTCTGGGGTGTAGTTACATCTAGCTGATGATTCCCAAATAGAATGAAACGTGTCTTCTGCATTTAACTGCTAGCCACATCTCATCTATTTTAAACCAAAATTCTAGCAATCTCTTAATAAATTAAGGTTAATTGAAGTAGTGATATATGTTTTAAATAAAAATGTTTTTTGATTGAGACCATGGACCAATTGATGTTAGACCACCATTGAAAACCTACAAGCACTGGACGGCCGTTTCGTTTTATTGTGAGACTCCTCAGCAGTGCGCATCCACGATCCCACTCGTGGGATTCGAACCCAGGGCCTTCAGTTTCTCGTGCAAACGCTTAACCCCTAGACCACTGAGTCGGCATCCGACGGTGTTAATGTGTAGCCCCAACCAATCGGCACGCTTCTGAGGAGTCCCACAATTGGACAAAACAACCGTCCGATGCTTCCAGGTTTACAGTGGTGGTCTAAGACCAATCTGTTCATGATCTCAATCAAAAAGCTTAATAATCTCCACAACCCTATACTGAAAAAACGTTTTTATTACTCAACAATGAGTTTGTAATTTTGATTGTGTTTTTACAAAGTATCAGTAATAATAATTTTAAAATAAGTAATTATCATATGATTTCTGTTTTGAGAATATCTTCCGGAAATTATGAAAATATTTCCTCATGCAAATGGAATATTGTATTAAATGAGAATTTCTTCCTTATCAATGTGGGATTGTTGTAATGACCATAATGTTTTTTCAGTCTCTAATGTCTGTCCTTGAATTGCATTGAAATGTGATAAATTTCCATTGTGTTTATTGTTAAACTGTTAAACATTTTTTAGTACAATAAAAAAAGGATTAGAAATGAATGAAACACATAATATAGTACCATATCAAAAAATGTAATGTAATGGGAATCTATGTTAAGACAGTTAATAGTTTCCATCATGAATCATATGTGATAACGTGCCAAATCCGTTAAATGCCGTAATTTGTGGATTTCGATCATGAAATAGATGTTTACTCTATGTTACTATCTTTTACATCACAATACCATTTTATAAATTGACTATTTTTCCACATCTTCCACCCGGTTTTACCGTTCAGGCAAATAGTATATTTTATGGAATTCACTAGAGTTGCATTCGTAAAATATATCCTAGTCACTGATGACTAGAATGCAGTTCTTAAGAAACGGGTACTAGGTAAGGATGGCAAATCAATTAATGACGTAGTGAAACTTCGTCAGTTGAGATGGCTGCGATACGTGTTACGTATGCCCAACGACCGACTGCCCCGACGTGCGATGTTTTATGGTGTAGGAGTAGGTTGTAAGCAAGCTAGGGACTGACAGTCCAAAACATGGCACATATCCATGAAGTCACTGACAAGTGGACTGAGTCATGTTGGTAGGTATAGACTACCTGGTTGGGATCCGAGAGACAATAGCAACGGATGGTTAGAGACCCTGAATGACATGGCTCAAAATCGTTTGCAATGGCTCATGTGCATCCACTCTTCGTGTTCTCCTAAATTCTAATCTTCTGAATTCTTCATGTCCCTTTATTTTTTCTCTTTCCAAATTTATTTAACTGTATTATACTCCATGAATAACATCTTCAAACCCTAATCTTTCTGATTACTGCATATACGTTTATTTTCTCTGCCACTATGGGATTTAAATCGACAGTTGTATCTCCGTGTTAATGTAATGTGGTATGGCAACTCGAACTGATGTAATTACGTACGAAGTTCTACATGGTTTCTGACTGACTGAGTCACTGATAAAGATTTCTTGAGATAGTGACACTGAGTCGCTATGTTTGAACTTAAGTATTACATAGTGTAGCCATTAGAAACCAACAATTATTTAAAGAAAACATTGGTTGGAAGCGGGGAATTTCAAGACAAATCCTCAATTCAAAGTAGACAAGTTACACAAGCTTCTAGCATCAGAATCGATCTCATCGTTCCACATCTCAATATGGAATGTTAACTTTGAAAGTTTTTCTTGATCCTAGTTATTGTGATTTCTGTGTATATTATTACCATATGTGACTTGGTGAACTATTGTTTAATTTTTTTTACGAAAAAATCTATCGATCTTGTCTTTTGTTTATGTATCAAACAACAAATTATGTTAATGTATATATATATATATATATATATATATATATATATATATATATATATATATATATTATGTATTAGGGAAAATGACGGTTGCTTCACCTCGTTATTTCACTCCACCTCACTACATATACTCTAATCTCATCTTTTACAAAGCAGCATCGATTAATAATGATGACCCTAGTATATTTTCTAATGTTATTTCACAAATAAACAAATGGATCAAAGTCCTTGTTTTGTTGTTATTGTTGCCTTATGTCGATAATAATAATAATAATAATAACTTTCATTCAACTTTGTTAAATATTTTATTAGTGACTTGAATATCTCATCCAATATAAGACCGGATGTTGGAAATTTACAGAGAAAAATTCGGGTAAGCGAATGTTTGGTAAATATATATTTTAATGGTATCAATCAGTTCTATGAGCAAAATGATTGGATTGTAAAGCTTCGATTTTCAATAGGGACAATCTTTTCATTATTTATTTCATGTAAAAGTGAACATTTCACAATTGCTTTTGTGGTTGGCTGTGTTTTTAAAATTCTATGCTCGGATTAAACAACTAGTCAATGCTTCCAGGATTTCAATATTTTTTGTAACTTCATTCAGTTTTTGATCTTAATAATATCAAACAATTTCCACAACCTCCATACTGATAATTTTCATATGTTCAATAATGATTAGCTTCAAAAGATAGTGAGAAGCTATTGTCATGAACTCAGAATGCAGTGGTCTTAAGTGCTGTTAGAGGTATGAGGGCGGTTATCACTTTCCGGTTGCCCACACCGAGTATGGGTTCTTCTGGAGGTACCTGAAAAGGAAATTGGATTAAAGGTGGTCTTAATGATCTGAGAGCGTGGTTGCAGTGCTCAAGGGACAACTGTTTGAGGTCGGTCATACACAAGATTTCTGTCAGTATTTTCGTGTTAGCTCCGTACTTGTTGAGACCTTACCACTGGAGACGAATATCCGTGGGATAAGGCTAGGTGTGCATTTTTAGGGTCAACCTTTTCTAACCCCACCCCTCCTTGTAGGAAGGCAGCGTCGCTATCATGCTGGTTGTCTGAAGGAAACACCTTACTGCTATTACACCTCTGTAAAGTCAGCATGACGACTTCGCCTTCGGACTTTGGGTTTGTTACTATTAGTCTTGCTGTTCTTCAACCGACCTGTGTGGCATAGTAGGACCTTGAGAAACGATTGTTCCAGCCAGTATAGTTCGATTGGTTCATCGCGATAGGCAGCCCCGACCACCACGTCAAAGTAGCAACAATGGTCGGGTTGTCATGATCTATTGGAGTTTAACTATGTCGGGTGCGTGATTCTTATTATGTTAGCACCTATTCGTTACCTATTGAATAATTGTAGAGAAATTCGATTTGACTTTATTTTCATACTGTAAATAGCACATGTGATTATTTCAAAAAAATAATCCTCCATATGGAGTTAGATCTTATGAAATAGAAAAAAAATATTAAAATTATTTCGGATAGTCGATTCAATTTTGTATTTCCTCAATGATTATCATGCGTAATTGATGAATGGTATACGATCGAGATCTATCATTATTTATTATTATTATTATTGATATCATTATTGTTATTATTATGAAATATCAATAACCATATCTGTTCATAAGTTGGTTAAGCATTAGATGAAATATAAATAATTCTTTATGTGAGTTACATTGTATTTACAATTTATCAGTTGTATGTCTATCTCCGCCCCCCCCCCCCCAAAAAGCAAATTAAGTTGAATCATCCAAGTTTAGAAATATATTTGTACCACTATTCATTCGATTTACCAGTTGTATCATGTTATTCATTTCATGATCATTCTTATTCCAATTAAGAGATTGGCTAATATATTGTGAAACATTTCTATATGTTTTATTTAAATAATCAATAATTAAAAAACATGAAGTTCAACGAAGGAATCCGTTTTTAACGAATTTCTTATCAAGCTGTACAATCGCGTATATATATATATATATATATATATATATATATATATATATATATATATATATATATATATATATATATATATATATATATATATATGAAATTCTTTTGTTAAAGTACTAGTTCCGTGAAGAAATGTAAATACGAATAATCAAGATGATGTAATAGAAAGATTGTAATACCAGATTACATAATATGAATAATTACAATAGATTTGATAAGTTAGTGACAAATTATCACGTGAATGTAGTAAGATGACTTAAATGTTTTTATTACAATAATTAAAGGTCATAGAGATATAAAAATAAATAAAGTGATATGATGAGTACTTATGAATAAAATAATGAGAATATGAGACAAGAGAGGAATGCAGTAATAATAATAATAATAATAATAATAATAATTAGGGCCAAGGTATGTATATACGATTGTGCACTTCCTTACGCCTGTTAATCCCAATGGAGCATAGGCTGCCGACCAGCATTCTCCAACCCACTCTGTCCTGGGCCTTCTTTTCTAATTCCATCCAATTCTTGTTCATCTTTTTCATGTCTATTTCCATTTCTCGGCGTAATGTGTTCTTCGATCCTCCTCTTTTCCTTTGGCCTTGAGGATTCCATGTGAGGGCTTGTCTTGTGACGCAGTTCGGTGCTGTCCTCAATGTGTGTCCTATCCACTTTCAGCGCTTCTTCCTGATTTCTTCCTCCTCTGGGATCTGGTTTGTTCTCTCCCACAGTACGTTGTTGCTAATAGTGTCCGGCCAACGGATCTGAAGTATTTTGCGTAGACAACTGTTAATAAACACCTGTATCTTCTGGATGATGGCTTTTGTAGTTCTCCAGGTTTCTGCCCCATACAGTAGAAGTGTCTTGACATTTGTATTGAAAATCCTGATCTTGGTGTTGGTTGACAGTTGCTTTGATTTCCAGATGTTTTTCAGTTGTAAATATGCTGCTCTTGCTTTACTGATCCGCGCTTTCATATCTGCATCAGATCCACCGTGTTCATCAATGATGCTGCCCGAATATGTAAAGGGTTTTACATCTTCCAAATCTTCTCCATCAATTGTGAATGGATTGGTGCATGCTGTGTTGTATTAGAGAAACTTGCTTTTCCCCTTGTGTATATTGATACTTACGGCTACTGAGACTGCTACTGAACTGACCGTCTTCTCCTGCATTTGTTGTTGCGTTTGCGATAGAAGAACCAGATCATCTGCGAAGTCTAGATCGTCCAGTTGCGTCCTATCTGTCCACTGTATCCCGTGTTTCCCTTCAGATATTGACGTCTTCAAAATCCAGTCGGTCACCAGGAGAAAGAGAAAGGGTGAGAGTATACCGTTGTACAACTTGATAATAGATTCGTTGAAAAGTGATCCTTTCTCTGTTCTTCGTGTTGTTAATGTTTAATGTTTAGATGCGGATTATCTGTCAATTAATCAATAATTACTGATAATCTATGTATTACATATATAGTTGTATATGTTTTTTTTCAAATATTTCTCTTTTGTTCATCCCGTTTTAATGAATATATATATACATATATCAAGGCTGTGGCTCAACGAATGGAAGAATCATATGGTGCATTGGGAAGTATTTTCAGAAACGGTTAGTTTTGAAATCAGTTATTTTTTCTTCTCAAAAAAATGTTTTTCGTATTAGTTATTTAAACATCCAGTATTCTTGTTAGTACTATAGCCATCATATACATTAGGTGATGTTTGTCAAAACACTATTACAATAATTTTATAAAAAACATTGTCTTTCAATGATTACCTGTGACTTAACTAATGATGATAACGATGATGGTGAAATTAGGCAACCACAAATTTCTAACAGAATATCATTACTACCTCTATGTTTACTTGTTTGTAATACTTACGCACACACACACACACACGTACACATACAAAAGCAAATTTACACTATATATCAAAGAGTAAAGATAGTTCATGTTATATTATTATTTAATTTTATTACGATTTGGTGTATTCAATGTCTGGCTTTAATCTGTATTCGTACAAATCATTCCTGTAAACTTTGAGCTTTTCTGTTCCTGGATTAATTTATTGTCATTTGTAAACTCCTTTCTAACAATTTACTATTAATTGCTTGAATGTAGCTGAATTGAATTGATAGTAAGAATGAATTTAATGTATATTAAATTCTTAGTTGTTCTTGTTTCATTTCAATTTCATATAGATTATCAACTGATTGTATTATAATCTTGATTTAAACCTCAATTATAATTCGTTGTTACATTTATTTCAGCCTCCATAACATATATACACATTTGTTTTGGGTGGTTGTTCGAATCTAATATTATAATCCACTATTAATCCAACCCAACCACACACATTACTGAGAAAATCAAGAGTGAGCAAGAAGCTTTTATTGGTCGACCACAAACAAAATATACGCACTAACTCGTTCTCTCTCTCTCTCTCTCTCTCTATATATATATATATATATATATATATATATATATATATATATATATATATATATATATATATATATATATATATATATATATATATATATATATATATGAGCGATTCAGAATCTCAGAATTCGGGAAAAGATAAAGAACAGATGCGCCTGCGCCACGGCAAACGATTTTAACCCATGTCATTTAAAGTCTAAGCGTTGGTTTTGATGCTCGCGCAGATCACAATCAAGTAGTCTACACTTATTATCATGGCTCAATTCAATTGTCAATGATTTCATGTATTGATGCCATGTATCGGTTTGGCTGACTCTAACTTTTTCTCATCTTATTCCTGCACCAGAAAGCATCACTCGTCAAGATAGACAATAGTTGGACATACGTAACACATTTCCCAACCACCTCAGTTGACGAAAATTCACTTGCTCATTAATCGATTTCCCACCTTTACCAAGAACTCTATTTCTAACCCCAAGGATTGCTTACTTCTTGATCCCAAAACTTGCAACTAGTCGGCCAAAAAAATCTTGCCTGAAAATATACTAAGCATGATTGTTATTTATGTGATTATTTATCATATATAAAGGATTTTAGATGAGCATTATTATGTTTCATTCTGATTGATTGATCCCTAATTAACGGCCAATTTCGTATATGTACAGTTCGTTAGTAGTGATAGAATTTCGCAGATTAAAAAGGATTATGGCCATTAGTCTAGGTAATTCGACATTGTGTCCTGTTGATAAATACCGTTAGACAATTGCCATGTTAAGTATTTCTATTAGTGAGTTGAGTGTTTTGCTTTATAATGAAAATTAACGTTTAGATTATTGACATATGAAAACACAATGTACACTATAATTACTGATTATTTATAAGTCTCCTTTTACCTCTGTTATATGATTATTGTTAATACGTTTGGTTTTTATTATATTTCAGGTTCTCGTCATACATTCTTCTCATCTCAAGTATTACGTTATGCTGATTTATATTCTTTCTCTTGTATTAATCTGATCTACTACCCTTTATGTTATATGTTTCGTGCACCAGCTATGCTTATGCCTCATGAATCAACTGTATCTCATGGTGATTCACCAAAAGATAGTTTTTCGGATTTAGATGCTTTACCATGTGGACTTCGTCGACGTACTAAAAATGGTAATTTATACTTACATATATTGTCATGTATATTGTCTTATAAATAATATCAGTATTACATAAGTTTAACTTTAAATAGTTTCCAATTCATTTGAACTTTTTGCTTGAATGAAGAGGTTTACTATTTTACAAATCGTATATTGTAGTTGGGAACCGTTCATTATCTTTGTGTACAATATCCTTATGACGATGAAACTCTTAATAAAATATATGGGATGGATATGCTATTTGAAAGACTATTTTTACAGGTTTGTTTATGGATTTCATTAATAACAGGTTTTATTTTGTAAAACTGTCGAATTGCATCTATGTTTATAACTTCATGGTTTCTGAATAACATTTAGACCTTTCTAGCGTCATCAAGACATGAAGGAGCGATTCATTTTGGCATGAATCACATACACTTTCACTCTAACTTAATTCTTGTTTACAATGTGATCATAAATGTTTATAGGTTTGTTTACTGAATTGTATACGTTAGGACTATTTATTCATAGTGTTTATACGTATAGGTACGATCGATATCAAGTTCCCGGAATTGTTCTTCAGTATACATTTTTTTTCATTGCATAACTTGCTATTATGTAACTTACAAATTAATTTTTTTTATAATCCAACATTAGACTATAGATCTTTTTTTTCTAAAGAATTGAAGATAACATTATTGTTCAATTATCAAAACTCTCATGTTAATTGATTTTCTTTGATTATTTCTATTGAAAGAAATCAATCCATTATCAACGGACATAAATGGTCTTAACTCTACTTTGGAGAGTTCACTTTATTGTAAAAGTAAGAATAATAATACTATTTGTGAATCTGATGAAGAACAGGATGATTCACTTGATTCCGATTAAAGGTTAGTGATTATTCATTTGTACGATGAAATTAAAGGTATATAGTGAATTTTTTTCTCTCAAGAGGTGGTAAAAAGAAAGACTTCAGTTACAATTTGGTGTTAGTAATGATTGTTCTAGGTGTAAGTTGTTTTTAATGTTGTATTTTGTTGTAGTAATTTTTAAGGGAATTGTAATCATTTTCCGATTTCCGGAAATTATATTACCTCTAACCTTTGATGTTAGAACGGTCATGTATTTTAACGGTGTTGAATCTAAAGTTTTTTGTGTTTACGCCTGTTACTCCTCGTGAAGGAGCATAGGCCGCTCAACAGCATTCTCCATGCAACCCTGTCCTGGGCAATCCTTTCTAGCTCCGTCCAGTTGTAATTCATCAGTTTCATATCTGCTTCTATTATCCGACGCAATGTGTGCTTTGGCCTTCCTCTTTTTCGCTTCCCTTCAGGATTCCAAGTTAGCGCTTGCCTCGTGATGCAGTTTGACGATTTGCGTAATGTATGTCCTATCCATTTCCGTCGTCTTTTCCTAATTTCTTCTTCAGCTGGAAGTTGGTTTGTTCTATCCCACAGAAGGCTATTGCTGATGGTATCCGGCCAATGGATGTTGAGTATCTTGCGTAGACAGCTATTTATAAATACTTGTACTTTCTTGATTGTGGTTGTTGTAGTTCTCCAAGTTTCAGCTCCATACAGTAGAACTGCCTTGACGTTGGTATTGAAGATTCTGACTTTGATATTGGTTGAAAGTTGTTTTGAGTTCCATATGTTCTTTAACTGTAGGAGTGCTGTCCTTGCTTTGCAATCCTTGCCTATACGTCTGCAACTGAACCTCTTTGTTCATCGATGATGCTTCCTAGGTATGTGAAGGTAGGTATCACTAAAGAAATCTCGGAATGAAGTAGCTAAATCTAAAAATTGACCTCGGTCCATGAAATTATTGACTGTTAATTTGTTAAATAATTTGATTAGTATTGACAATCGGTTTATGATCAAAGCCCTAATCACGACCAACGGTTGAAAATTGTGAGCAATATTGATTAGAATCGATCATAACTGTGCAGATCTATCCATTCTTTATATTTCCTATAGAAAATTTTATGTTACTAGTACTCAATTAAAGATGTCATCAGAGCATCGTTTGTATATTTAATCACAAAGTAATGAGTAAGGATGGCAAATCGATTGCTTAAGTGGTGAATCTTCACCAGTTGAAGCTGTTGGCACATATTTTACGTATCTCTAACAACTGTCAACGTCGTCGTGTGGGTGATGTTGTTTCTTTTAGTAGTAGATTTCATTTTCTTTGTTCGTAATTGAATGAGATCTGTTAAGTAATCTCAGTTGTTGTAAGAACACTTACAACAAAGATTAAATTATCAAAAGTCGTTTATTTTTCTGAAACTACGTTTGGTTTACACTGAACTAATGTGTCTGTCGTCTGTTTAGTCTTAAGGTTATCAAGTGTTGACATTAAGTACTTATTCTAAATTTTCATTCATTCAGCTATCTATCTAATCTACATATGAGTATGTATATTCATATATGTTTCATTATAGTGTTTTTTTCAAGAGATCTTTTTACATTCGTTTGATAATTGGTTCACCAACTAGGGGAGTCAGAAAACCCTGATTTTAAACCGGTGGTGCACATGGGCTCCAGTATCCTGAGGGAAAAAATGGCGTACGAACCTATGGTTGTTCACCGGTTACCATGGGACTGCATCTCCTTACGTTACTCCACTGCCTTGTAGATTAGACCTCTAGGTCAACGACTTTGGGTGTTACCCCTTAAGAAGATTATCTACTTCGGTTTGGGCACCCGGGCAATATCCCAGCCCTCACATAAATCGAATGACATAGTGTAGTGCATATAGTAATATATTAACCACTAAGACTATCTGACTGACCTACATAGTTGATAAGCAATCACCATCTTTGAAGTAGTAAAACAAAAGTTATTATTATCAGTGTAGTGAACAGAACACCATTGGGGACAATCGAATGCATTTGACAGGAAACTTACAGAACCTGTTAAATGAAATCTAACAATCATATCGTAAATGCTTAATTTGCAAAATGTTCATCGATTGTCTTAAAATGACTCAGACTTCAATGTTCTTACATTTTCATAGAAATTGCATTCTGTTCTCATTCTTTACTGTTCGATCTTCTTATCTCTTTTCTACCAGATATTCTGTCCTTGACTAACATCATATACTACTTATGTAGATATAAGTAGCACACACCACAGTAGTAGCATTTGGATTAATTATATTATTTTGTTAGTTCATATGTATTATATAATGTTATCCATTATTCTTAGTATGGAACTTTGGGGATTATTGAACTTCTTCGTTTATTTTGTTTCTTCATTTTTCTAGTTATTGAACTTCACTAAAAAAATTTTCCCTCTCACAATTGATTCTATCATTTTTATCAATGTACAAACATTAAACACACATAAGGAATAAAGAAAATAATAATAATAAAAGAAAATTAAAATAGAGAAAAATTGAAAAGAAAAAAGTGTACATGTACATGTTCACACACACACACATACCTACATACATACATACACATACACACATTCGAACAAATGAACAAACATAATTGCTTATTATATAAATATAAATGTTAATCACAAAACTTACCTACATTACCTGATCATTGTTAATGTCTATTTTGTTTAATCAATATACAATACACTTTTATTGTATTTCTAGTTTGATTCAATATGATAATTCGTAGAATGAATATGATTGTTGCGTTGTTTGTTTTTTTTTATTTAATTTATTTATTATTTTTATTGATTATTGAACAATTGAAATCCTGCGGGGTTTTAAATAAAAATCTAATAACAATTAATTCACTATTGATTTAATCATTGAATAGAAATTATTTTTTAATTTAAATCATCTTAATGATTGATTGGTGATAATGCCTACATTCTTATAATGAACTATCTGATTTTCATTATCATAATTATTAATTAGTATGATTGTTTTATCACAAAATGATGATAAGAATGTTTTACCTCAAGAAAAGAAAATGATTATTTTCTCTTGATCAATCTATCTATCTATCTATCTCCATCTGTCATTATTGATAATCGATGAAAAAATGATATCAACAACAACAACAAAAAAGAGGAAAAATAAACTAACCAAATAGGATGGGGAAAATTTAGTGAATTTATTTTCAAATAAAAATCTATATATTAGAAATGATTAATTATTTAATGATTTACATAATTGATCTCATTGTTTTAAATCATCATTCAACTCAATCTATCATGTGTAATACATATATATAGATATATATAGAAACGAATTGCCTTTCACTGCTGTTTTCTGTTTTATGACTAAATATGATTGTTTCTTATTTCATTAAATATTTACAATCAGATAATTTATATGGATGAACTGCTGAATTTATTGATTTCTTTTTCTTTTTACGAACATTTTAATTGTTGTTATGTAATTTTTTTCTTTTGTTTTTCCTCTTTTCCTTTTTCTTCTTCTTCCAAAAAAAATATCATTTGGATATTTTGTCTATTTGCTCAGTGTTACTAATTATCCCCCATCTCATATGTGTTGGATGATAAGTAGATGGGGGTGGTGATTTCTTTCCTTTTATATTTAGTTGTAGTGTCAGTAGAAATACACATGTTGTTGTGTTTAGTAGTCAATTGTGTACTTTAAGTTGGTTATTCTTATTGATATATATGTTATATATCTGTTTACATTTATGAGTATTTGTACTGATATATATATTCTTTAGCATGATCAACATTTCGTCCATTTTCACTTACTATAATTATCGCTTATTTCAGTCTGTCTCTCTCTCTCTCTCTGACCCACTCACATGTTAGCAGGAATCATTACATAAGCTGATTATTCTTTTGTTTTTCTTCCCTCTTCCTGTTTCCTCGTCATATTTTATTATTATTATTATTATTCTTCATTATTGTTTGTTTTGTTTTGTTTCTCTTCTCTAATGATAAAATTTATTTTTGAATCATTTGACTAATTTCTTTTGTATTCTATTGAATATCTTCAGAATAATTCCTAATCCTTTATATATCCCTGATCTTTACAACCATGATTAATGTCGTTCAGAAAATAGGGAAGCATGAACTACATTGTAGATCACAAAGTGAATACTAACACAAATACAAATATAAGCGTATGAATTATTAAGAGAGTGAATGAGTCATTGATCTATATTAGTAACTAACCCTTTAAGTTAACAAGATGAATATGTATGAGTAGGCTGTAACATGTGATCAAGCCTACATGATCATAGAAAAACATGATATAGATACCATGATGTACAAATTTTTAATGACTCTGTTAATTATAATAATTTCACAAATTGAAATCATGAGTCGATTGGAGCTAGACCACCATGGAAAACCTGGAAGCACTGGACGGCCGTTTCGTCCTAGTATGGGACTCCTTGGCAGTGCGCATTCATGATCTCGCATCCCGCTGGATTCGAACCCAGGACCTACTGGTTTCGCGCGCGAGCATTTAAACACTAGAACACTGGTGTACGGTGGCTCAACTTCGTGGATTGGTTGAATTTAGACATTAACACCGTTGGATGCCGGCTCAGTGGTCTAGCGGTTTAGTGCTCGCGCGCGAAACCAGCAGGTCCTGGGTTCGAATCCTGCGGGATCGTGAATGCGCACTGCTGAGGAGTCCCATGTTAGGACGAAACGGTCGTCCAGTGGTCTCAGGTTTTCCATGGTGGTTTAGCTTCAATTGACTCATGATTTCAATTTGTGAAATTTCTAAAAATCTCCACTTAACCCATTCTGATAATTATAATAATTATGAATAATAGCTTAACAAAGTGAAGTGTTCATAGACTTCAAAGTGGATGTTGTGCTATAACAATTCCATTCTGTGTTTGTAAAAAAAATGTATTAAACAGGACAGAATAAGAATGATATTAAAATATGAGATGAAGCTATGCTGTAAGTTAATATATGTCCATGTATATCTACGTCCCTGAAGCTATATAAAATAATGATTAAAAGAATCTGGTAATTATTAATAGATTATGCGTACAGTCATGAAATAATACAGAATTTGTCAAATCCAATGTAATGTAAGTTTAATGCACGTACACAATACGAAAAGAGTTGAAGACTAAGTGACATATTCTGTTGGTAATTGAAAGAAGACATCAAAATAATGAATGTCAACTAGAAAGGATTGTCCAGGAAAGTGTGCATTCTATGCTCCTCGACGTGGGGTAATAGGCGTCGTAAGTAACGTACAATACGAAGCGGAAAAAATAATATTCGAAATCACTAATTCAGAATCGTTGCTACTGTTTAACTCTTAGACCTTATCTAGTCATTACTAAACTCTTCATTTCTGTCGCTTATGATTGGAACTCACGTCTGGGTGGAGAGATGATTTTTAGGGGATTTAGGTGTACTGGCTGATCATTACTTCGATGAACGCTGCTTTGAATCGGTCGTTGCTAATTACAAACACAGCTAGAATAATTACTAATAGTAAACTCGTATCAGTTGATTAAACTGGGATGATTCTTTGTTTGTGTCAATCATTATAGTATAAGTTCAGTTCATAAACATGTAAGTCAATAGTTTCCAACTTGTGACGCCATAGGTTTCGTATATTATAAAGTTGAGTCTAACTATTATTTTCACTGTTCACGATAATAATCAGTTGCGTGGAAAATCGGAGATTTAGATAGTCATAGAAACCAGGGAACCATTTTATACTCTTCATACAGATACGTTGGAGCGATTTTCCAGGCTTTTTCTTTCTAAATACATTGCATAAATTCTGAAAAAAATGATGGAAACGATAATTCTCTTTAGTAAAATGTATTTAGATGTAATAGCAAGGTATTTTTCTGTTTACTCATACGAATAACTTGTTAGTTGGTTGGAAGTAGTCGATACAGAACCCTAGCATAGGCATCGTTCTAGTCAACTTTCATCATCTTCATAGAACTGATGTACACTTTAAGGCTTGGGACCGTATAACTCAGCCTCACAGTTTAATCTGATGATTAAGATATTTACAACAGATTTTTGTTTGTTTAGCCCTTATTGCTCATTCAGTTCTGCCTATGAAATTAGTTTCTAACCATTAACCTATCAATTCGAACCTTTTCAATCACGTAGAAGGCTAATAGTGACCCGAATAGCTCAATGCTTGTATCAGGATTCATGGTATAGCTTCCCAAGGAATGTTATCTAACCAGAAACATAGGTCCAAGTTTACCTGCTGACTATTCCCAACAATTTAGCATTACACTACTTACACACAATGTCCAATTAAATAAAAATTGGACATCATATTGCTCTCGTTTTCCTCTTGTAGTATTTATCACAAATCTGTAGTTAAATTATTGTTCTGGCATATGATTCATAGCACGTTTTGTTCTATCTACAGCGTAGACACTTGATACACCGCGTACAATTTGAGCACTCGAACGCTAGAACTCTCCAAGTCACAAATGAGAAGACAAGTGAGAAGGAATGCTATTACAAACAGTATCAATTATGGTGCAAAACTGTGAGGCATTTATAGATTTTCGTAAAGACGAAATCCTCATTATACCCCTCCACTCCGCATACAGGAGGTTATCAGTATTTGTCCAATGATGAAGCTAGACGTAGGGATTTCGGAATATTCTTCCAAAAGATGGTTGGATTGAATATTTTCGTCTCTTTCTGAGCTTCTTAGAGCTTCCTCGAGTTCACTCGTGGGCTGTCCTCACATATTTTAATTTAATCTATATTGATCATCATAAAAGGAACATATGAGAAAAGAAATTTTGGACAGTATAATATCAATCATCTGTATTATTATAGGATGTTAGTTTAATATTCATTATTATTGATAATTGACATGTAACCTTAGTAACTGTTTAAAAAAAATAGATGAAAGGTCATTCTGATAATTACTAAGTTATTTATCATCGAATATCTTTGTGTAGGTAACCGCGTTCAGTAGACAAAATTACTTAATTAAAAAACACAACGTAAAACAGAAAAATCTATGAAAGTAAAGATTTAGAAAAATGATAACGTGGAAGTTTGAATAGACCACTATCACCTCTGTATAAGATACTTACTTACTGACATACACCTGTTACCCGTCGTGGAGGAGCATAGTCCGTTCAGCAGTATTCTCCTCCTCTGTCCTAGACAATCCTATCCAGTTACTATTCATTCTTGTAATGTCTGCTTCTAATCCTGACTCAATGTATACCTTGGTCTTCTCCTTTCCGTTTCTCTTCAAAATTCCAAGCTAACACTTGCCTCATGATGAAGTTTGGTTATTTCCGCAACGGAAGTCCTATCCACTTCTATTGTTTTTTTCCTGATCTCTTCAGACGGAACCTAGTTTACCTTCTCCTCAACAGTATATTGTTGCTCATGATATTTGGTCAACGGATATTGCGTATCATGTGAAGACGATAGTTTAGAAATACTTGTGCTTTTTCACTGATGTCTGTAGTAGCTCTCCAAGTTTCAGTTCCTCGTGCAGTACGACTGTCTTAACGTTCTTATTGAAAATTTTGACTATGATGTTGTCTGGCAGATAGTCGTTTTGAGTTCCATATGTTCTTGTGATTGGGTTAGTTTTCTTCGTTTGTATTACAGGATCTTGGTTTTTCCCTTGTGCATGTTGGAGCCTACTGATTCAAAGGGTTCTGTATAAGGTAAGGATTCATAAAAACTACCATTACTATTGGTTATTATAAAAAATACGGAAGAGGTAATTTTAAACACAGTTAAATGTTCTTTTACTGAAAGATTACCATGTGTGAAAAAAATTCGCGTTTACGTAATTGGTTCTGAGAGAATACTTTCATTGTGCAGTGTCTCGTAATATTATTAGGGTGTTCTTTAACAAAGTTTGTGAATCAGATTTTCGCTTTTCAGTTTACTTGTTTACAACTCTTTGAACACAAAACTACCGCTTCACTCTATAAATAACTCAACACAAGTCGTCTTTGAATTCTATCTTAATAGTTTGGTGTTTTGATCCCACCATCCATAGGCCTAAATGGTGTTGGTTCAATTCCTGATAGGATCGTTTATCCCTACTACTCCCGAGTTTCATGGTAGAACTATTACTTAATTACTAACGCATATTACTACCAATCGACCATAGACCGTCGATCAGCATTCTCCAATCCACTACGTCATGGGACTTACTTTCCACTTCTCTCCAATTTTTGTTCATTTTTATCATATTTGTCTGTCTCCATTTCTCAGTGTAATGCATTCTTTCGTCTTTCTCTCCTCCTTTGGATTTGAGGATTCCATGTGAGGGTTTGCCTTGTGATACATTTTGGTGCTTTCCTCAATGTGTTTTCTATCCACTTCCAGCTCTTCTTCTTGATTTCTTCCTTCAGTAGGATCTGATTTGTTCTCTCTCACTGTAGTGGTTGTTGCTGATAGTGTCTGGTCAACGGCGGAATTTAAATTGTTCGCATTATTTTTTTTCTGGTTAGCGTTTTTTTTTGTGAATTAGTTTTGTACGAGATTGGGTCGCTAACCCCGTGCCCAATCCTCCTTCTTTATCCGAGCTTGGAACAAGCAGTAGCTACAGAGGGCCTCCAGGCGGTTTTATGATAGAACTATACAGCTTTCCAAATCAGTATCTCTACAACATTAAATAATGATAATTTAAAATGTATTGTGGAAGATATATATATATGTCAGAAAGGACTGACAGATCCTGAGTTCTAATCTCATAAGGCGGGATCATAGACGGGCACTGTTGAGGAGTCCCACAATATGACGAAACGGTCGTCCAGTGATTCCAGGTTTTCCATGGTGGTCTAGTTTCATTTGACTCAACCATTGAAATATATATATATATATATATATATATATATATATATATATATATATATATATATATATATATATATATATATATATATATATATATATATATAAGTACAGTTTTATTTTCATCAACATAACATCCGAATATTTTTATCACAATAGTTTGCCTATTTGAAATACTCTCAAGGTTATCCATCAAAATAATTAAGACAACATAGTTCATTAAAAATAATCTATCTATCTATATTATTTATACACGTAATACAATGTAGACAATTTATTCAGACATATACTGAATGTTTTCAACATTCTAATAAAAAGTAATATCATGTATAGAAAGGTG